CACTTCAACAGTCCTGCTGACATACCAGGAGAGCGAAAGCAAGAATAAAGATATCTGGTATCTAGATTCGGGTGCCAGTAACCACATGTGCGGCATCAAGGAGTTCTTTACCGAGTTGAACGAGATGGTACAAGGAGATGTCACTTTTGGAGATCAGTCAAAGATTCCAGTAAAAGGCAAGGGAAATATAATGATCCAGACAAAGACGGGCGAGAACAGGTACATCTCTGATGTCTACTATGTTCCAGCATTACGAAATAATATTTTGAGCCTAGGCCAGCTCCTTGAAAGAGGCTATGATATACATCTAAAAGACCTTGCCCTCACTATTAAAAATAAAAATGAAGTTATTGCAAAGGTGAACATGTCTAGAAATAGACTGTTTACCTTAAATATTCATGCTGACCCTGTCAAGTGCTTGAAGTCAATCATAAAAGACGAGACTTGGCTCTGGCATCTACGATTCGGGCATCTCGCTTTCAGTGGCCTGAATCTTCTATGGAAGGAGAAAATGGTAAAAGGATTGCCGCAAATCAACCATCCGAACCAGCTATGTGAAGGCTGTATGAAGGGCAAACAACATAGAAGAAGTTTCGAAGTTGGAAAGTCAAGAAGAGCAACAGAGTTGCTACAATTGGTCCACACAGATATTGCAGGACCATTTGAAGTCATCTCTCTTGGAGGAAACAGGTATTTTCTCACATTTATTGATGATTATAGCAGAAAAACTTGGGTTTATTTCCTGAAGGAGAAATCCGAAGCTCTGGAGAAATTCAAAGAATTCAAGGAGATGGTAGAAAAGCAAAGTGGGTACCACATCAAAGTGCTCCGATCAGATCGAGGTGGAGAATACACTTCGAAGGCATTCAACAATTTCAACAAGCAGTACGGGATAATTCATCAACTCACTGCCGCCTACACACCACAGCAGAATGGCATAGCAGAGCGGAAGAATCGTACCATTCTTGATATGGTCAGAAGCATGTTGAAGAGCAAGTACCTGCCAAAGACTTACTGGGCTGAAGCCGTGGACTGTGCAGTTTACCTCCTCAACAGATGTCCGACAAAGAGCGTCAAGTTCAAGACACCATTGGAGATGTGGAGCAACATCAAGCCAAGTGTCAACCACCTGAAGGTGTTTGGGTGTATTGCATATGCACACATCCCGGAGCAGAAAAGAAAGAAGTTGGACGATCGAGGAGAAAAGTGCATATTCGTTGGGTACGAGAGGAGGACAAAAGCATACAAGCTCTACAATCCAGTTACAAAGAAGATGATCATTTCAAGAGACGTGGAGTTCGATGAAGAAGATTATTGGAAATGGACCGATGAAGATAAAAATATTAAAGGTATGTTCTTTGAAGATAATGATGATGACTTGCAGGAGGTTGGAAGACCAGAACAAAGTCCACCTAATAGTCCAGCTCCATCAACCCCAACATCAACGCCGACATCATCCAGCTCAAGTGAAGGAAGCTCTTCAGGGGGAGCAACAAGGAGGATGAGAAGCCTAAGAGATCTGTACGACGATACAGAGCCTGTCGAGATGATGGATGACTACACACTATTCTGCTTGTTTGCAGAATGTGATCCGGTCAGCTATGAAGAAGCTGCTCAAGAAGATAAGTGGAGAAAAGCCATGGATGACGAGATCGAGGCAATCAAGAGAAATGACACATGGGAGCTCACTACCTTACCTGAAGGCCATAAACCAATCGGAGTAAAGTGGGTGTACAAGACAAAGACAAATCAAGATGGCGGAATCGAGAAGTACAAGGCCAGGCTTGTTGCAAAAGGCTATAGTCAGCGAGAAGGAGTTGACTATGAAGAAGTGTTCGCACCAGTCGCGAGGATCGACACCATCCGACTCATTATCGCATTGGCAGCACAGAACCGGTGGAAGATCTACCAGATGGACGTGAAGTCTGCATTCCTGAACGGCTACTTAGAAGAAGAAGTCTACATCAAGCAACCACCAGGGTACGAGGTGAAGAATCAAGAAGACAAAGTCTACAAGCTGAAGAAGGCATTGTATGGACTGAAGCAAGCGCCCAGAGCATGGAATGCCAGAATCGATGCATACTTCCAGAAGAACGGATTCCATCGGAGCCCGTATGAGCACTCTCTCTATACCAAGAAGAAGGATGAAGACATCATGATC